TGTGTTTATACAACTAATTAATTAGCGACACTTAGGGTTTCACCAAACTTATGAGTCAATGATACTGCCCTCACTTGTATTATAATTTGAGGTTTCTCTGAGGTTGTCTCTTTCTTGCTCCAAAATGTTAATTCGAGTATCTACTTTAATTAATGATATGCTTAAAATATTTTTGGGTGTGTGTGTGTGTATCATGTCCTACATTTAGTTCTTTAGTGGACCAACAATATTTAATTGGTCATATGACACTTCGATTTCTCTACAGATCACCTCCAGACCATAATCAATAAAAGCGTGATATTTAGATTTATATTAAACTAAAATGTTATTTTCTCTCTTCTATACATAGAAAGAGAAAACACAAATGAATCCGTTATATGTAGAAAAAACCAAAAGTCTTATAAAAAAAAAAGAAAGAAAGAAAGCCAAAACAGTCATGCATGTGAGATATTTAAAGAATCTTACCATGCAATAACAATACAGTTTTCAACATGCAAGATTATAAAATCAAATCCTGCTGCTAATATATGGATCTTATTTGTGGAGAATTTTTTTTATATTACAAAAGGAGCAGACTCTTCCAAAAGCAAAAATTGATATTTAAATCCTCAACCACTTATTTAAATGATAAGAACCCTTATCATTTAGGCCAACTTTAGTTGGTGGTAGAGAATATATTTCCTCACATACATTGTCCGTCTAAAAAATTTGAGATTTCATGTTTTCTAAATATTATATGACAAAATTATTGATGTTAGTATCTCAATTCATATAAATGAAATAAGATTCAAGTAAAGTGACATGCGTATCTGAAGAAACCATGACTAATTGTGGTACATTGATTACTTCAAGTATAGGCAGACACATAACCCACTAGATCTCCATAGTTTATAGAGAGTTCAGAAATAATGGAGAGAGTGAAAAGTATCGTGTTTTGGTTATCGATTTATTGATTTATCAATTCATATGAACTAGATCAATAACTACTTTAATTAATTAATTAACTATCTTACATTATCCTTGACCCAATCAGTTAAGAGATAAAGAATAATTAATGGCTATAAAGTTGTAGGTTAGACATCTATTCATTGGGTTCACTTGTGTGGTCCACCTATTATGATCTATACAAAATTATAAAAATCAATCTGTTTGGACTTATTAATTAATATAAATCCAAAAATATTTATAAATATTCCAACAAAAATCATTTAAAATTGTTTGATTTAATTGAACAATAATTATTATCACGTCATGAGACACTTGTTGAGTTAGTGTATTGTCACTCATTGGATCCATCAAATCCTTTAATCAATCATTTTTTCGTTGATTATTAATTGACCTTTCATTATTTATAAAAAGCGCAGCTTTCTTTCTTAATTAGATTTTGTGTATTTATATGGTAAAATATGTCTAGTTTATGACTATAATATTAAAAAGGGTCCTCTCTCTTACAAACCTTAAATTTCAAATTATTTTATGATGTGTTTGGATTAATGCATATTTGGATTTGGATTTAATTTGGACCAAATCCTTCATTTCGATATACAAAAAATTATGAATTTAGGTTTGATTCAAATCTCACTACAAAAAAATATTTTTTGGCGATGACTTGGCATGTGGTAGTAACTTGGTGTAATGTGGGAGGAGATATGACAATGTGGTGCATGACGTAGCATGAGGAGGTGTACATGTGACGAGATGACATGGAGTGAGGTGTTAGATGATGTGGCACAAGGCATCAAGTGATATGACATGAGGAGGCGCACAGGTGGCAAGATGACATGCACATGCAAACTCACACAAGTGGCATGAGGTGTCAATTGACATAGCATGAGGAGGTGTAGACGTAGTAGAGTGACATGGCACGAGATGACTCTAATTTTTTTTCAAAAGGATTTTAGCGGCAACATTCAAAAAGGACAAACTTTTAGTCGCAAAAAACTTTTGACTGCAATAAATGTCGATTAAAAAATAAAGATAAACTATTGATATCTCTGTGACTCTTGAATCTTTTCTCATATCTCATTCTTTTCTCTTATCAATTGAAAAATATAGATAAACTTATTATTTGTAATTTATAATTTTCATTTTTGTTTCGAAACTCGATTTATATCTTTCTTCTTCATTTAAAATTTTTAAACTACCCAAACAAAAGATATTAACTAAGTCAAATTTAAATGTAAGATTCGAAATGTAAAAACCAAATCTAAATTGATCAATCTAAATGCTGCTGGCCTGCTACCTAAATCATATTTGTTAAGATCATCGCATGATAAATATTAAAATACCATGAATGTGGTATAATTTGAATTTATTTTTCTTTGCTGGGTAGTTTAATTGGGGTTGTTGACATTTAGTTGTAACTAGAGCCAAGAAAATGGATTGAATCTGTGGGCTAACCCATTCAATCCATAAATTTTGATGGGTTTGATTGAAAGAATTATCTCATTTTTTTAAAACAAGTTGGGCTAGCCCAACCTGCAAAAATGACGGGTTAAAACGGATTGGCCTAGGGGTTAACCTATTTTTTAAAAAATAATTTATTTTTTCAATTATAATATATCTTTTTATAAATCTACAATAATGACTACATTTTTAAAATTTATAATTTATGAGTCTCAATTATGTTCTTTACATTTGAAAGATAATGTAAATCTTTCTTACAATTTGCAAATAAAATTTTTATTATAGTTTGTAAATTAATTATTTATAAGTTTTTATATAAATATTTTGAATATATATTATTTGTTAATCTGATAAGATCTATTAATTGAAATTACGAATATAATTTCATTGATAAAAATAATATAGACTTATATTCAAATTTTATTTTAAAAAATAATATGAGAAAAATCATTATCTATATATATGATATGTTGATTATAATCTTTAAATAATTTTAAAAACTAAAATTACATTTTGCAGGCCGGCCGGCTTGCTAGCCTAGCAATGTACGATTGGGTTGGGTTTTCCTAGCCCATTTATTTTGGCAGGTTAGCCCAATCCAACCTGCTGATGCGCTAACTCGTGTAAACTAGCCCGCAACTCGTTTGGATAGCTCTAGTCGTGATTATAACGTGTGCAAAAGAAAACCTCTTTCTTTGAATTCTAGCAACCATATGTATATATATATTAATTATAATATGATGAAAGTCAAATCTTATTATTTTAGTATATATAGAAGAAGCCAGACCAAATATATATATATATATGATGAAGATGACAGAGAAAGGATCATTTGACGTAGAACATTGTAGAACTTCATAATAAGATCAAGGAGTCTCACGCGGTGACGAAGAGGTTGGTAACAATAAGGTGATTTTCTGTAACCCAGCTTTGAGTTTTCTTATCTTAATATCTTTGGAAACATTTCTAGCTTTTTTGTTTTTTGGGTTGGTTTAAAAATCATGTTGTCCTCTTTTGTTTGAAATTAATTTGGTTTGCTGGCTTGATCCAAAGATTGCAGGACAGACTTGATCCAACATATTAATTGTAGTGCATTATATGTTAGTTCCGATCCTCAATCAATTACAGATATCTAATTTTACTTTATTCATTGATATAATTACTTCGTATCTAGCTCGTATTATTATGTCAATTATTATTATTATTATTATTATTATTATTATTATTATATGTAATTTATTTCTTTTTTAACATGATTCTTAGCCATCCAGTGGCTAACTCTGGCGGTCTAAGCGTAGAGGTTAAAATTTGAAACGCTTCTGATTTTTTTTTTTTAAAGAAGGTTTAAGCCTTCAATTTTGTTTAAATAAAATTTTGTCACTTCTTTCGAACACTACATTAGTTTTACTTTTAAAATGATAATGAATATTTTACTTAAGAATTTGCGCGCGAGATTAGGGATTGTGAGCATATGATTTTAAAAAAAAGATTAAGAGAGAAAAGTGCCATATGTTTAATTTAGAAATTTCTTTGAAGCTTCATTATATTTCATTAATTTAGAAAGATTAAGAGGACAGCTATGATATGGTGTCCCTTAATACATTGTACCAAAATATTAACATGTCCTTAAAAGCATTTATATAAACTTTGGTCTTCTCCAAAGTAAGAAAGGGTTGCAAAAATATAAAATCATTAAATCAACAAATTGAGATTCCTTTTCTGTGAGTGAGCATATGGTTTTACACCAAACATATCATTGCCTCCCCTTGATTGACGAGCCTCATTATAATTAGGTTAATTGAGTTAAAATATATTAATATATATTGATGTGCTCCACACCTTCAATGTTGATCTTCTCTTAATTGAATCAAATTAAATTTTGGCAGTATGAGTGATCCTTAATTAATTGGAATTAATAATAGAGAGGAAAATTAATTTCTTACCGCCCATGCATAATTAATTAGAATTGGTTTTGTATCTTTAGCCTTTTCTAGTTGATATTCTCCGACCATTGAATTATAAAAAAGAAAAAAGTGATAGTCCCTTTTGATTATCAAAAAACTAATAACAAATTTATACTTAAAACACTTTATTTAATATGGCTTATTCTGTTTCATGATAATTAAATCATTGATTGAATTACATTACATATATAGTTAATTTTGAATACAATTAATAAGTCTGTTAAAAAATTACAATTGATAAAAGAGTATAAAGTAAGAATAAAAACTACTACGTATGACTACTGTTACTATATTGAAGTGATAATCATTTGTGAACAAAATCACAAAAGTGAAAAAAGCATACAATCAAATATGAATTTAAACGTCAATCAAGGGATCTCAATCACTATTTTCAACACAAAAGCACACATAGGTTTTGTTTTGAAAATTCCCACCATTAATTGGTATATAAATATTTCACACTAAACAAATCTCAACGTCTCTCTCTCTCTCTCTCTCTCTCTCACGCAGGAGAAGGATCAAAAGTTGATTGAATCAGCAAAGGGAGAATAAATAGGAGAGGCTAGAGAAGAAAACCAGAAGTTGAAAGTATTATTGGCAGAGCTTGTGAAGGAGTACCAATCACTTCAAATGTATTTCTTCGAAATCCTTCAACAAGATCATCATCATCAACAAGACGAGGCTAAAAATGCTGCTACATTAATAGGCACAGAAGACCATAGCGCTAGTAGTACTCATCATGAACAATACAATATTACCAGAGAAGAGAATGAACTAGTCTCTCTTTCTCTAGGGTTTTCTTCATCCAAAGATCAGAATTACAAAAGTTGCAATTATAGAAATTCTCTAAGAGAGGACGATCAGAAGGATTTGGGACAATCATCATCAGGGCTTGCTCTAGGGCTTGATGTCAGATTTGACCCTACATCATCATCATCAGCTGAAGTTGAAAGTACAAACATCATAACCATTGAAGGTACCTCTGATGATGATGATGATGATGATGAGATGCAGCCACGCAGTAAGGTTCTCAAGAAGATGAGGACTTCTGAAGATCACAGTATTACTGCTTGTAAAGCTACTCAACAACTTCATCATCAGCTCAAGAAAACTAGGGTTTCTATCCGAGCCAGATGTGATACCCAAACGGTTAGTATTTAATTTTAATCCTAAAGTCATTATACATGTTTCACATGCATGTTACATAGAACATGAGAAATGAGACTAAAAGTATTTTGGGGTTCTAATCTCAACACTTGTAAGATAATCTCCACTGTTCATGGAGTCTATTTTTTGTGATATGTAAAAAACAAAAAAATATGATGAGAAATGAGTCTCACTGTTTATGAACTGTGAATAGGGTGTGCTATGATCAATAACACGTTAAATACTTGTGAAAAGCAAATATAAAGAGAAAATGGTGAAGACTATAAGGAAAAACAATGAATCTATCTGTACACATATGTTTATATATGTACACATCAGCAGGTTTCAAACAAGTCAGAACTTGCTTGAGATATTTTTGTGTTGCAGATGGATGATGGATGTCAATGGAGAAAATATGGACAGAAAATAGCAAAGGGAAATCCATGCCCAAGGGCGTACTACAGATGCACTGCGTCACCATCTTGTCCTGTCAGAAAACAGGTCTGAATTAACTCTTCTTATCTTAATAAACTCCATACTACTTGAGGTATATAGTTGAGACTTTCTGTCTTCTTGAGCTTTCTCTACCGGGGGAAAAAAACACAGAAATTGGGTCGTATGCTTTAAAATTTGATTCTATTTTTTTTTTTTTGTGAAGCTTATCTATTTTTAAGAGAAATATTTAATTGAGATTATTTTAATTTCCCATAAAGAGTTTTTTTTTCTAGGGAAAATTATATCCAACTCCCCTCAAGAGAATTAATAACAAATAAAGATAAATGCGGAATGAATTGTTGTTAAAATAAGAACACAACTTGTTTTTTCCAAAATGAAACTTGTTGTTAGTTCTTATCTGTAATTAATTCCCTTGAAAGGGAACTGGATGTGATTCTTCATTTTATCTATTTATATTATAAGATAAAAATAATTAAATTCATAAACTATATCCCTATAAATTGATACTTCCTCTGTTCAAAAATATAATGTATTTTTTGAGGAGTTAGATATTAAAAAATGTAATGCATTTTTAGTCTTTAGAGGTGTAATCATTACCTTTTTTTCAAAAGTGCTCCTATTGATAATGATTTTATATTTATTATAGGGTGTTTAATAGGGATAAATATAAAAAAATAGGGTTAGTTAAAAAGTAAGTAACTACTTTATTGGGAGGTGAGATTCAGTTAAAAATGTCTTATATTTTTAAATAAAAGGAGCACTATACATTAAAAATAAAAAATAAAATAATCTATATATACAAGTAAAATCAAAATTACTGTAATTTTACTATGTACAATCAAGTGTAGACCAATTTGCTTGCACATACAACATGGAACTCCATAATGCAAAAGAAAAAAAAAAGTGGGGGTTGTATCTAGTTATACATGTAAGGTTAAAATTTTTCAAGACAATTTCTTGCACATCATTAGGCAAAAATTTACTTTTTAGTATTTTAAAATTTTAATCAACCATAGCTAATTTTAACAATTAAGTTCAATATATGATGAAATCATGCTTTTTCTAAATTTTGAATCTTGATTAAAGTGGTATATATATATATATATCCAAATATATATCCAAATTGAATATTTTTCAGGTGCAAAGATGTGCTGAGGATATGTCCATCTTGATAACCACTTATGAAGGAACTCATAATCACCCTCTTCCTATCTCATCACCCACACCTTTCACCTCCTTATCCTCCATTATTGCTCCTCTAGCTCCTCCTCCATCTTCGTCACAACAAAATACAAAATTCGCCACGAAAATTTACAACGAAAATCAGGAAAAGTCTTTACCTTCCATAATCTTCAATAATAATGTTCTCAATAGCTTGTCTAGTGCCTCTTCCATTTCAAGACCATCACCACCACCATATCAGCATCAGTATTTCCCAAACTCTTCCATTATCTTTATTTCACCACAACCACCACCTTCTTCTTCTTCCTCCTCATCCTCCTCCTCTCATCATCAGTTCACCAGAACATTCACTTCCTCGGGCTTCTCTTCCATGTATAGTACTTATTATATTCACCTTTATCTCCTTCAAAATATTTGATCTCTCCTTGTTGTTATAATGGTGGTAATTGTTTCAGTAATGGAACCGTACTACTGGCCCCCCACCAGATGAACAGATCAAGCCAAAGCAGTGATGGTAAAGAACCATTAACAATTGAAGATGAAACAAAAGCAATCACCAGTACTAATCCCAAGTTTCAGTCAGCCAATATTGCAGCAGCTCTCACTTCCTACGTCAATACTAATAATAATGGAGGTAGCAGAAATGGCTTGGACTGCATATTTAATCAACATCAAGGTATATGATGAACAATAGTAATATGTGTCTTATTCTTCTTCTGAGATCAATAAAGCTCAACATGGAAATTGACTATTTCCACCTGTACCAGCAGCGTCTAGAAGCGGCTATAACTCTGGTTCCGCTTATTCAGATAGAAGCAAGCTGATGCTGGAACAGTGGAAGAGAAAGAATTTGACTATTGCTCCGAAGGAATCAAACCTCTGATCATTAGTGAGAGAAAAAACAAGGGGTGAAGATACGGATCCATGTCTTCTGAAAATTGAAGATATGTGAAGTTGGCAAAGTTAAATGCAAAAGCTAAAGTATGATACATTTTATGGGATTACATGGCAATTTGGTCCCTTAGCTAAATTATAGGTATAAAAACGTTTGAAATCCTAAATTCGTTTTTTATGTAATTTTTTCCTGAATTTTTAAAAATGATATAATGTTGTCCCTACTATTAATAAAAATTCACTTTTACTGTTAATTGGTCAAAAAATGACAAAAAAAATTAACAAAATTATAGGAAAAAATCAAAAAATTGCAAATATTACAAACAAAAACCCAAAAAATTATAGAAAAGGCTCAAGAAAATTTTCTTGGTTCTTTTATGTAATTTTTAAAGTCATTTTTTGATTAATTAACTATTAAAGTTAACTTTGGTTAATGTAGAAAGAAATATTGAAAGAAATTTTTATTTAAAGTTAATGTTAACTTTTGTTAACATTATATTGTTTTCAAAAATTGAAAGAAATATTATACAAAAAATAAATTTAAAATTTCAAATGCTCTATAAACCTCTCGTGTTTAGGGGTCAAATTGTTATTTAGCTCTTCTTTAATGTGCATTAATTTAGTTAATGATGACAATGTGATTTTATTGAAAAACAAATTGTCATGCATGTTCATGAAAGAAAGCTTTCTCATTCTCTTTTCGATTTTGTTTTCATCTTACGGTTTTCATCTTCAGAGAGAATCTGTTCTTGTAAAAATATTACGCGGGAATTGTCAATTCATTCATTACGACGACAACCTTTAATTTTGTTCTTTTGGGTGTTTCTTCTTCTTTTTTATGATTGAAGACAATTTTTTGGTTTTGTGCTATGGGAGGTATATATGGTTATTGAGCAGTTTTGCTCGTTTCTTCAGTCACTTGCTTGGCCATAAAATGAATGAAATTTAAGCTCAAAGGTTATGCATTATTTTTATGTATGTTTATTTACAACGCATGAGTATGCTATATAAAAAGTGCTATAAGTCATGAATGATGTGTGTGTATATATATATATATATATATAATATTGTTGCGAAGAAAAAGGATAATATCGGGATATTTAATTATTGTTTCAAAATTGAAGATAGTACCCAAAAATTTATATTCACTCAAATTGAATTGATTGTGTAAGGAAATGAAAAAAAGTACGAGAAGAATCAGATAATTATACATTGGCATAAAATAAATAAAAAAACTAAGCTTTAATTTGTTTTGTTTGTATATTCTTTTGCCAAAACTAAAGGCTAAAATATCCACCCCTCCAATGAGACACATGATATTTTCCAAAATATTGAGGGTAAAAGAGAGTCCAGATAATGTAAAGGTTAAGTGTATTCGATTAAAATTGTTGCACTAAAAGGAGGGGGAAAACCTGTAGGAAATTTTTCTTTTTTTTTCCTTTTTTTTTTGGTCATTAGCAGCATTTTAAAACCCTCTAATAGCAATTCCAACGTTTCTAAGGGTCCATTTGAATAACTCTCAAAAATACATTTAAATTACATTTAAGACGTGCTTTTATTAAATCCAACAAATAATTAGATCTCTCAAATATATCTTTATTAGATGTAAACTGAAACATACACTAAATATATCGAAACTGTCAGAAAAACGTTGTCGTCATTGGCAGCATTCTTCTTGTAAATTAAAAACACCCCTACAGTAAGCGTTTCTGGAAGTATCCTTCTTAAGTGTCTTGAAGATCACCAACATCACATTGTTTTTGCCTAGCATGTTCAATGCTGATCTTTCCAAAGGCCATTATTCAATCTTTGGACACAATTTTGTGGATTAATGAATTCTAAATATTTAAGTCGTTCATATTGGGGTAAGACCTCAGAAGCACTGACATGCGAAAATGGCCGACGTGTCCGTGTTGGCTACGTATCTGCCACAGATGCGCATTTAGGATGAGGGAACGGCGTGTCCCTTTTCCCAGTTTTTGGCGGAAGCGGGCGGATGCAGGTCGAGACGGGTTGACGCAAGCGGACACGGGTCGTGTAACATCCCAAAAATTTTAACACTCGAATTTATTTTAAAAATAAAATAAAATATCTATAATTAAATTAAAATTTAGAATAATTTGATAGAGGTCCAAAGTTTGAATTTTTACTAAACAAAAGTTGGGTTTATTTTATTTTTAACTATAGAAAAAATTACCAAAGTTGACCTAGGCTTTTGTGCTAAATAAAAAATGTTGGGCCCTTTATTGTAATTTTCTCCAAAATCTTATGTCAACAATTTAAGAGCAAAAGAGAACGCAAAAAATGAAACAAGGAAAGAAACGCACGAACGGGAGAAAGGAAGAAGAGAAAAGAAAGAGAGGGAGTTAGGCTTGGATTTAAGAGGCTTTGTGACCGTTGCGAGCTCGACTACACGATAGGTAAACTCCCTACTTCAATCCTCTTCCCTTCCTCTTGATTTTCTTTAATTTTTGGAAGAGAGAATTTCTGGATTTTGATCCTAAAGGCTTTATTCTTGTAAGTTTTTGTTTCTTTGGATCATAGGGAGGATGTTTTGAGTTTCTATATAGTGATCTAATATTTTGAGTGGATAATTGGATGAAAACAGGTGTTTTAGGCACAAATCAAACCCTGAGAGATTGGGTTTTGCTCCTCAATGGTTTAAGCTTATTGACTTAGTTATAATTTTGCTATTTGAGCTCAATAAGATTTAAATTAAGGTTTGGTTTTCATTATAAGGGCTAATGGTAAAAGTTTGAGACATTAAGTGAAGGTTTTTAATTGATAAAAAATTATATAAATTGGAAATTAGCCTAGTGATGGCTAATAAATGGTTTTGGTGGTTAAGTAGTATTATGTGAATGGTTGGTTTAATATATGGACCATTAGGATGGATTATGACTCGTTAACTCAAGTTGTATGGTATGAGTTATCGTCTTCATTAATGCTATTTGTCATGATAAGTGATATGGATCACTTATATGTTGTAGAGATTGTTGGTGGAATTTGTTCGGAAGTTAAGGAACAAGCCGAGTCCTATTTTGTACAAGAAAAACTCTTTTGGTACCAAAGGGTTGAAGTAACAAGAGAATTTATATTTCTTATTACTTTGTTTTAGCTATTTTTGAATAAATATTATTAGCTATCATGCATTTCATGTTTTAACAGATTAAATGTGCTTTATAAGGGATTATAGGGTACTATTTTGATTATAGTGCAAATATGTTTTCTAATTGTTTAACAACAATGTTTTTTTGGAAATGAAATTTGTTTGCATGTATTGTAATCATAAAGAATAGAAGTTGCACTTAAGGAAGTGTAACTAAGTAAGGTACCTCAGATAGGCTAAGGAACCGTTTAAGGGAGGTTTATAAATGTTATACTACCTTAGAGTGTTGAAGTGGTTAATACTCGAGAAAGGTTGACACGAATAAAATGCATGATCTCGGTGGGAGTTCACCAATGAGAAGGTGTGGACTTTTGATATTCTATGGCACACTACCAGTACTTAGTGTTTCCTTACGTATTGTGGGCTTAGTGCATTAAAGTGGTTAGTGTATTGAGTGTTCGACATCTCTCAATGGGAGAAGGAATCTGACATATGAAGTGTGACGTTGAGTGCCTAGGCCAAGGTAGCCCTTACATGGAGAGTAAGTTGGGCTAACTCTGGGAGGAAGTTAGCTTTGACTGCTTAGAATTCACGTCGAAGAGGCATAGGCAGTTTGGTGTATTAAATCATGCCTTAGATTATGTTTTGTGCTTGTAGAGGTACAAGTAGGTATAAGATTTACCTGCGAGTTAAAGAGTGCCAGGGGGCATTCTGTTGGTCATCAAAGGCCATACTAGCCTAGGTCATACATTCATGCATTTTAAATGGCTAAATTATATACTATGTTGAATTTATTATTCATTTATTTGATTAGGGCTTGCTTTGTAATAATCAATGTAGATTTCTCTATTACTGAGACTGTGGTTATCTCACCCCTTTCTTTTCAATATTTCTAGGTCTAGGTGAAGGAACCAGTGGAGAACGGGGAAAGGAGCAGAGCTAGGGGTTGTTTTTGAATTATAAATAACTGCAATCCCTTTCTTTTGAGCAAATATATTGTAATGTATTTAGAATTAAGGTGCCAATAAGATGTGATTATGTATATGTGTGTGAGTATGTATAGATTGTATGGCTTGGGTATGAATTTTTGTTTGCTTGTAGACTTGTGGCTAGGAAACTTGGCTATGGTGTGTGGTTTTGATGGATTTATTTAGTAGACCAAGTTTTCACTACAAGTAAATATTTATTTTGGTATATATATGATTCCACAAGTAAATGCAAAGTAGTTGTATTGCAAATGGTGTGCTATGGGCAAACATACGCCTTGGATAGAGAGAGTGGGTGCGTGGGCCCCACAGAGATCTCTGAGCCAAATAAAAATGTTTAGCGTGTATATTCACTTGTATATGATATTTGAAATTGTTTTTGGCCGCTCTTATGTGATTTGTGCATTTTAAAGGTTTAGGGTCCATTTTGGGAAATGGCACTCGAGTGGTTAAATTTTGATATAAAAAGTTTTTATATCATTTAAATGTTCTATCAAGTGTTTTTAGTCCTATTTGACATGTCCAAAGTGTTCCTACAAGTTAGTAACCATTAGGATGAGATTTGGATAATTTTGAAAATGGTTTTTATCAAAAAACTGTACTTTTGCGTCCGCGTGTCCAAATCTTAATCTGATCGTTGGATTTCTCTAAAGTTTGGGTCACAAGTAAAACCTTTTATAATCCTTGTGTGGGCTTTGGAATCACGTCGATCGAATATCAGACAAAGAAATGGCGCACTCTAAAATTTGGTCCGGAGGAGCTGTCATGACAGCACTTTTGCTGTCATGACAGCAACTTTAATGATGTCACAACATGCACGAATTCAATTCGTCTGTTGGATCTTTCCAAAATTTGGTATGCTAATAATACTATTTAAAAATGACGTGTGGACTCTAGAATCGCTCCAATCGAAGGTCTGATGATGAAATGGTGCACCCTGGAAGTTAGTCTGGAGGTACTGTCAT